TATATGCTGCCTTAAGATTTAGCGCTATTATTTAAAAATTAACAATGTTTATGTACTTTAATTCAGTGTGGGCACAAGGCTAGAAAGGCATAAAATCATAAATCACATGAAGAACATTGAGAAGTTTCTAGTGCCACATATGAACACATCTTTGAATTGCTATTTCGAAAAAACTGAAAGATCCATGAAACAAAAATTAAACATTCCATCCAACAGTGTAAAATATCAAAACTGAAAGCTCATGAATTCATTTTCCACTCAAATCACTGAGATCATTATCATTCACCATATATATGGACTATGCTATACTAATGACTTCACCCAAATTATATGTAAGTACTGCTGTATATGTAGACAGAAAATAGGAACTCAAACTGGTAGCAATTTTTTGTTTTTTTCAAACATATACTTTAATTAAATATACTTTTTATAAGAACCTGTCAGAAAGCCAATTTTCAATGATAGCCAGCTGACAAACAGAGAATCCTAATCGTAGTTCTTAAACTGTTACTACTATCAAACTATAGATAATGATAAGCCTAGAAGTTTTTTTTGTTCATTTGTTGATCGTTTTCAGTGGTCAACCCAAGTGGTGTGTGACTCTACAAATGAATAAAAAATGTAGTATAAAGTACTTTTAATTTATTACCTATGTTACGTATTATAACAATACGTTACATGCATTTCATACTTTGTAACAAAGACCACTTGTAGAAGCTTGATAGTACAAATAAAACAGAAATTAACATAAAATTAAAACTCAGCATCTTTTGTGTACTAGTGTCAAGTACTTTTCAGAATCTTTGCCGATATTGTCTACTTTTGGTTGGTGGTAACCGAAGCGTCGTCCAACCCAGGTACATCCCCATAGTGGACAACATCTCATGGGCCTCTTGGTTTTGCTGAAAATATAGGGAGAATGCAATGTGTAAAAATGAGCGTGAATTGAAAAAGGTTAAGAATGCTGTGTACAGTAGAGAAAACACTAATCTATGTAGCTACAATGAACACAGTCCACTTGAAAACAGAACTCAGAACAATAATAAATGCAATAAATTACTTATTTTCCTGATTTCCTTTGGGCTTTTCCTGATTCTTTTCCCTATTTAGCTCCTCAACTTCACTCTTACTCAGCTTATGTGCATGCTTCAAATGGTTGGAAAGATTATTGTATTCCTTCTGGCAAATCTGAAAATAAAATTATAGCAAAATAGATATGTGAATATTTCATTTTGGATCATCATGACTGCTTAGCTTGTCATTGCATAATGACAGGTAGTTGATATCATCATTAGATAGGCCAAGCATCAACATATCACCTGCAAATATCTCTCTGCAAAGAGTGATGTATTCGTATGTAACATTGTTTTGTGCAAATAAAATTCCAGATTCCCAGACACAGCTGTGCTCATAAATAATCCAGCAATGTTGCAGATTGTTTCCCAATGATAGTAGTTTCTTATGATATGAAGGGATGGGCCAATATCAACATCTTAAAGGTAGTTCTAGATGTCATTCTCACTCCACTGTACAGACTTCACCACCTCTGTGGTTTGAATCCTTTTGAGTACCAAGATGGGTGTCTTTTGTTTACAGTTATACATCATAGTGCTACATATATTCTATATAGATGTAGATTATATGTAGGAGCCAATTACTTTATGAACCAGACAGTGGAGTTGACCTAAAATTCTAATTTTGCGCTTCATACAATGGCAGGCTTAGCTTATCTTCTCTAAGTTAATTGGCATTTTCTCAATGCACCTTTTAACATAAAGCCCAAGAAGGAGAGGGTTGTCAGGCTAGCCTTGGAAGCTTGACTGTGAAGGCAGTCCCCAAGGTAGGTATTTTGATTTTCTGTCATTGTCCCTTGGGTGCATGAGAAAATTTGGCAATCGTTATAAATGACCACACTCACTTGCCCTAAGGTAGGGATTTTAAAACTTTTACCAAATTCGATGTTGTGACAGGGGTGGCAAATATGACAATTTTTGGACAGAAAATATCAAAATCCCCAAACCTTGCCTGACCCCTCATCCTGACCCCGTCTCGTGCGTTACTTTGAAAACTACATACTCCCACTGCAGGGGTATTTATAAACTTTTTTTCCTCAGTCGTTTCTTCCGCTGTGGTAACTTTGACAGGTTATGATCATTCAATTGACTTAAAACGCTTTCGGCCTCGTCGGACATCTTCATCTTTATCAATTCCATTGACATTCCTGTACGAATGGAGTTTGTCGACTCCACGTTTCGGATCTCATGGAAATGGCAAACAAGATTTTCTATTAAACCGAGAAAATGGCTTCTTTGCGTTAATCCAATATCCTTTGCCACTTTCTTTTCGTGGCGAAATTGAATAACAAGATCGATAAAGTCGTATCCATTTTCGAAATGGAAATACATTTCAATTGAAGGGTTCAAAGAGAAGCGTAACTTCGTGACCTCCCTCCTTGTGGCTTGTCTGGGAGTCTGGTTCCCAGTCATTGAGGTTAGAGGTACTCGGGAGTCATTTAGGTTAGAGGTAGACAGCTGTAGCATTCCTCAGCCTTCGATCCGAGTCTTTCAGTTCAAAGATGTTTGCAGATATGCCACGCAAAACACGTTTTCTTCCTTTTTTTTTTTCAGCTGCAATCGATTGAAAGAAGAAAAATTAATCGCCGTGTCCCAGTGCGTCACCGTTCCGTCTCTTTTTCCTAGCCTCCCCCTTCTCCCACCTCCCACGCCTCACACCTTAACTTTCCCTCCCCCCCCCCTTCCCAACTTTACCTAGATGAAATGATTCTTCCACTTTTGGTACTTTGATTGCCGGAAAAACATGGCTTCTCCTCGATGTAGTCGAGAAGTTTTACATTATCATGGTCATCATGGCGGAAGGACACCAGCACTCACTGTGCTAATTTCGTTAAAAGAATTTAGAAAAACTTCACATGGTTAGCCAAACCACAGTAAATAGCAGTTATGATATCTTTTTGCAGAAACATGAATTCACCGTCAAAAATAAACTTTAAAAATATACGTCCGTACACACAATTGTGAACACTGAAGAGGAATACGGTAGTTATATGCTATAACGAAATCATGTGATAAACCTGACTACCGGACTATCTTGAAAAGGACAAAAAAGACCTTAGAACAACTCTATGAAGAAATCAGTCGATAAAAACTATTACTGAACATTACTTTCGCCAGGACAATGATATTTTAAGAAATAGTCTAGTATCATGGAGGTTGGAGGGCGATCGACGTCGTATATGACTTGTGGTTGATTTGCTACTTGATGTACAATGACACGACGACACAACTTAACGAATAAAGCGAAGATCCAGAGTTAGCAATTGATCGCGTTAAACTTCTACACAATTTGCAGGACACTTTTACAGAGTAGCGCTGACTGCCTGTTTACCATTTTAACAACATAATCCGTTAAGTCGCCCGAAATAATTACAACTTATAACTTTTCCTCAGTAATTCCGGCACGTGCTAATTGCGTTACGGGTGTGTCAATTTCGTTATGGCCTCACAAAGGACGTATACTGATACATTTTACTTGATATCATACATAACAGAAATTGTAAATTATGTGGCACATATTCACTATTTCATGGATGTCACCAAGATATGTTTTGCCTAAACACTGTATAGGAAGGTTACAAAATGAGATCCATCGCCATCTAAGAATAATAGGAGGTACATGTGTATATCTACATACATACATACAAACATACACTTTATTTGGTATAGCAGGTTGAATTAATGCAGCTAAAAATAGCTCATGTGGACCTGCTGTTATCGAAACAATTTACTTTAACAATATAAAAATTAATTAATAGATAAAACCGCATGAATTCTATGGATAAGATCAACGATACAAATGAAGTTTGAAATTAAAAACTAAAAAAGTTTGTTGGGCGGGTGATGGTTACGTATGCAACGCTCAAAAAGTGTCATTTCAGTTCAGTAAGGATGGTCCGAATTGACAATGTACTAAAGGACGATGACCTAGTTCAGTATTTGGCTCATCAACTAGAGTATTCAAACCTAAGTTATATAGTGCCTTATAAATGCGATAATCAAAATACAGAGTTTATGTAGATACTCGAGGCACCCACCCCACACTTGCTAATCTCTGTTTATCTATCATTCCCTTTGGTACAGATCGACAAAGATGACAAATGTTTTTGTTCGACAATGGTGGACCTCTCAAAATTGCATGACAACGTTGACTCATGGTCCGACATCTTTTCCACGCCTACAATTATACCTCCGGTGAACTCCAATCCACACAAACATGATTTTCAATCATATCAGAACCTAACAGAGTCTGTATGGGAGTCTAATAAAACGGGGTTTTCACTAGGTGGGTGAGTAGAGCTGTCCACTTACGAGTCTCCGTTAATTAAGGGAGCTACGGCACCGACTAGTGAATAAAATATGCCCTCTACACATGTTATGTATAATCCTAATAACCTAAAACTGCAACGAATCACCACCAAGATGAAATTTGCCAATGGTGAGAATTTATTATAACATATTGCGATGATTAGCCAGTCAGTATAATCCTACACAATGTACAGCCGCCCAGTTGGCCCAATGGATAGAGCGCTTGACTGTTGTGCGGGAGGTCGAGGGTTCGAGCCCCGGCCGGACCAACACTCAAGGTCTTAAAGTAATTGAGAAGAATTGGCTACGTTTCTGTAACATCAAGAACTAGCTGGATATTCTAGTTTTCTCGGATAGAGACGAATAAATGGAGGTCCCGTCTCCTGCAGGGTTGGGGGTAGGAGACATTAATTTCCCACGCACGAGATTACTGTGTGATGGATGTCCTCCCCTGAGGTGGGATGGGTGGGTTTACTGGGCCTGCAGTAATTGGGCCAAGCTGTTGCGGTGTCCCTGCCGGTTGGCGAAGCTAATAAAATAAACTGATATATTTATTGGGTTTTCCGAGAAGTTTACCCGCTATTAGCGCGCGCGCATAAACAAGGCAGCGGCTGTTTCTGTATGGATTTGGCAAGCACCAGAGACAAAATGAGCTTTATTCATCATCAGATAATTCGCTGTCTGATGATAGTTCCAACACAAAGGCCTCATCGTCCACATCTTCCTCCATCATCGATTCGTCTGATTTCTCGTCATCGGGAAGATAGTCGATACCACTCAAATGAGCATAGGATTTTGCTACCTCAGCATGATCAATAGGTTTAGGGAAATCCAAGATACCACCCCACAAATGCAGCAGCGAGGAAATGTGATTACAGTGAATCATCCGTTTCTTTTTAAGGCAAGTTATCATTCCTGCATTAAGAGGGTTATCAGTGAGAGGCAGAAGCGCTTCCACTGACTCGTCTATAAGTCTGCTTTCGTTTTGGAGAAAAGAGACAAGGCGATTAATTTCCTCTTTCAACAGCTCAAGCTCTTCCTGACACCTGTTGTGTAAGCAGAAAAGGTCAATTATCTGCCTCCTAACAAGAGCAGGAACGGTGTCCCCTTCCACTTGGACTTCAGAGTAAATGCTGCTCATTGGATCCTTGGCATCGTCATAAAGAATTTGGGGTACATCATTAGGAAGATACCATTTACTTCAGACAAGTTTTGTGGATGGACTTCACGACTTTGTCGATCTGCTTTGCGAGCTTTATGGCAATTGCTTGGCCATCTGAAAATTAAAAAGTTCACAATAACTAAAGATGCAATGCAGTGGCAGTTTTATGGATAACACGGAAAGATGTAAATGTGTAAGACTTGGGAACTGGGAAAATTTAGCCCTCATACCCCTTTTCAAATAATCCCTGTACAATGCCTAGCCTCGCAGTTAAAAATATTTGTCTTTAATTTTTGCACCCCTAATTCTCTCTCTGCAGAACCTGATTATTCCAGTCGTTGCTGCAAGGAAGAAATTCGCATCTTTATGACTTACCGTTCGATTTTCTTTTCAACATCTTTTACCTTCCCTTCATCTTTATCTTGTACATAGCTCAATTCATTTCTGAAAAAAAAAATTTAAGTGGGTGGAGATACGTACACGATATGTTAAATTTAATACTTAGTAATTATATCAGCTAAGGTGGAAAGAAAGGGAAGTACGAATACGTTTGTTATATTATTGTGAAAACGGGTTTTGCCTTCACAAATAAACGGACGGACGGGGGACAACCCGATAAACTTCTTCTGGGAAAAGGTTTTCCTGGGGGCACTCGCTGGCTGCAGGAAGGCCGGGATCTACTTACGGCTGTTTACTATCCTCGCGGCAATGACTAACAACAACAAAGTTGGCTCCAAAGTAGATTTATTAAGTACCACTGAACTGACTAGTTTTTTTCCTGACTTGACCAGACTGGGTTTGACCGAAGAAAACTCTACAAAACAGCTCTATTCAAGCCTAAGTCACAATTAAAGGAATACCTAATGACATGAATGAACTAAAAGTTTAGTTTCACGTAGTCCACCACAACGATTGCTTAGGTAGGAATTTCGCCTTTTTTACAACATTAATCACTTTCAAAAAGCTCAGGTACTCCCTATAATGTAAATCATGAATTTGGTAGGTGGTACTTCCACACTAGATACCTAAGTTTTTTAGACATGTGGAGCAAGCTGACATATGATTCGTACCACTGCAGTGTTAATTCTGTGACAGATTGACAATATATTAGTGAATACAAAAAAAAAACTGTTTTCCCCACTGATTTTTAATAAATGCTGAGGAATAAAATTACCGTGTTCTTTTGGTTTCAGCGCTTCCACTTCATCCTTTTGCCACTGTTGTATCATATCATCATCACAACCTAGTACAAGTAAATACAAATTGTATTGCAATAATCGGGCAGAAACGCACGCATGTAAGTCATTGTGCTGTTTTTCAATGCAATTAGTAAAAAAAAAGTTTAAAATGTATACCTGGAAGTTTTTCCGTGAGTTCCTCAAGCTTTGCACTTACATCATGTAGAAGAGTTTCTGCCCTAGCAAACTTTGCATTTAGAGTAACACCTGTGAACATTGAAAGGAATCAGTTTAATGTATGTTAATGAGAGTAATCAACCTCGACTTACATCTTAACACACGTCCTTATTGAAAAAATGAAGAATTGCAACTTATACGACAGAAAATACAGGGTAGATAAAGCTGTCCAGCTAAAGTTCTGGTCAATAGTTGATATATATTTTACTTTTAAGCAAAACCGACAGAAACGTGAAAGTTATGTGTTCAATAAAATTAACCATACCAAATTTGTGATACAAATGTTGGGCATAGTGAAGAAGCCCATCAGTCAAAACATCTGTCCTCTTGTGAGCACTCATTTCTTTAGTGACAGAGGAAAACCTACGCAGAAAAGAACCATAACCTTACCACCCCTTCACCATCTGTCAATCCAGTTCCCTTGATCCTTCTTGGACTGTATTGGATCTACTGACAATCACATTGAAGATAAACCTAAGAATCAATATGGTATGGACCTTGCATGAGATAGTTAGCCAATACATGTACTAGCCTGCAATGCAGGCAGATTTTAGCAGTGTGAATGAGTATTTCCAAATCGAGTGTTCAAAGCACCATCTTGAGTTAGGAAAACAGTGGAGAGTTAGCGCAGAAATATGTTTACCAAGCCAATAGGCGTGAGACCTCCTCCCGCATTGCATTCTCGCCCCAACTTTCCAGTAAAACAAACACTCAAAAGATAACAACCACTAAAACCACCTAGTTTAATTTTCAATTTAGGTAAAATTAACCACGAGTAAAGGTTCACTGCCCGGTGGTCTTTTCCGAAGCTGATAGGTTTATGTAGGGTGGCCACTCTTATAAAAGGAACATGTACATGTGCTTAAATATTTTACCTTACTTGCTAAGCTGACGCTTGGAGATCATTTGCTTTTGATTTTGGAAACTGCTGTCAGATTTCTGATCCCACACTGCTCACCCATTGGTAAGCGTGGGATGTTTATTATAATTACAACTGTATTTAAGCAATGTCGTGGTATTACCACACATTTCTTCAAATTGTCACCAAGCCATTTACCGTTAAACTGATATATAATTACTAACCTGACATGATGTCTTGTGCCCATAGCAATGGAATATGGGTATGGCAACATCAACACCTTCCAAGAGGCTTTCCTGAGATGAACACTAACAAATATAATCATGTAAATGAAAATTGTGTCAGAAGTAACAAACTATTCTGGAATTAAGAAGTGATCCTGACAGATATTCATGCAATGTAAATGTAAGCAATAATGGGAATTTAACCAAACACAAAGAAGAAACGAATCTGGCCCTATTGGGATTTCAGCCCGTGACATTGTCATTACAATGCTCTAGCCACTTAGCTATGAACCCCCCTATGTTGGGAGCAAGCCAGTACCCACAGGCAAAAAAACAGGCAATGGACAAGTTTACGTGAGCTGCAAAAATTAAGCTTTATTTGATTGAGCCAACTACTTAAAATTCAGTTCATAACTCTGACGATTACATCTTCATTTAATTTCCACAATTCACATAATTCAAGACTGTTCCAATAAATTATTTTATTTCATCCCAAATTTAATAGAAAATACTTTGGACAGTTCTACAAAATTAAATAGCACTTTAGAATTACCATTTAACCTCCTGCACATACATGTTCAAAAAATTTACTTACCTTCAAATGGTGTGCTAATAGACAAGCGATGTCATACATGATGATTACTCTGCTTCTGGTGCTCTCATTAAGACTTCTAAGCCTCTTAAGCTCATAAACAGAGTATGATATTCTGTAGAGAGAAAAGATTATTGAAAAGGTGAATCAATTATAACCAATTTTTTCTTTTATATCTTTTTACACAAAATCTAAGACAAATTGAATATATTTCCTATAATATGACATTCAAATTAATAACAAAGTTATACAATGGTGATGCTATTAGTGTAAAGAATCATAGGATGCTCCTGCACAATTTATATCCAAGTGTGCTAACTGTCAGCATGACAAATTCATAATAATCATGGCAGGCTCTATCATGTAATTCTCTAACAGACAATACATGTAGGATTGAGCACAACATTAGGTAAAATGTATTTACATAATTATAAGCCATACCTTTCACCATGCTTTATGTTAAGGAATCCTTTAGGGAAGTCATGTCTGCATACTCACCCAAAGACACCTTTCTTGTCAAAGAGTTTGTTTTTGCCTTTTGATCTGAAAGCTGAAAGAACCTCTCCAGCATGGAACTTACTGCAGTTCTGTGATAAAAACGGGACAAAAAAAGGAAATCTTGAATTCAAAGGGCCAAAAGGAAAATGATACAGTTCTCAAATTAACATCTGAGCATTGCATCATCTTATATACAGACCTGTTCCATGTCTGCTCCAGCTTTGCCATAACTGTTGACAAAATTGTCAACATCATCCTGGTCTGCAAATAGGAGTGTTCCATGTTTGGGTGTTCCTAAATCATGCCCTTCTTCCATTTTTCTACACAATCCAAAGCACCCATCCATGCTTTCAATGAGTACACCATCATCCTGTTCAAAAGAGAGGGGAAAAGAGAAAAATAGATATAAAACAGAACAGCAACAACAACATAAAATGAACACTGCAGAACTGCAGCACTAGTGTAAAGATGAGTGCATTTTGTGTGCCCCAAAATGAATGCCAAAATAATATTCCTCAAGTGCAAGCTACTATTCAGAACAAATTACAATGTATAGTTACCCTTGGACATATAGGATACCAAGCTCCATTGTACAAATTTCCCTTGTAGTTTGTACAATGCTTGTACTGATGCATGAAATACCTTCACGTGAAAACAACAAAATGTCAAGTAGGACTAATTGTTTTCTTACAGCAAGTCAGTAGATGTACATGTACAGCAAGAAATATGTCTTGTAAATTAATGTAAACGGAATATTTTCCTTAAAAAAGACAGTCAATGTATCTTTGAATCATATGAACACAAAAGCGACAAAGGCAAAGCATGAGTTTGACATTTATATATTTAAGCTGGGCAACTAGAAAATAAATAAAGAAATATACCAATTATATAAAGAAGCACTTGTAAATCATATGACTGCCTCTACTATTACTATGACTACTACTACTACTACTACTACTACTACTAATGATAATAATAATATTAATAATAACAATATAACAAGAACAACAACAATAATAATAGTAGTAATAATTATATTAATTCTAATATCAATAATACCTTAGTAGACCTTGTACGTCCAAAAATTAGCAGCTTTGATACTGTCAACCTATAACCACACCAACCTGAATTCTTTCAAGCATTCTGAATTAAGGATACTGTAAATTGAGCTCACCTAAAAAAAGGAACATACCGTCCAACCAAAATCAATCAATTAAAAAAAGTCTGGTCATATGTCTGAAAAAGACTCTTTGCAAGCAAACCTACATGTGTTGGTTGTAGCTGAGGATTGAGTTTTGTGATCACTTCTGTGATGTTTAGCAGGGACACTTGACAATGAAGAAAGACCTTCTCCACAAACTCCATCAGTTTGAAGCTGAATCCTGTGCTGGGATTTTCTGGTGACCCTGGCCAGAACTGACATTTCAAGAGTGTGACAGCATGCAGCTCACAATCACACACTTGTACATATTTGAGGCGATGATTTCCGGACATTCATAAAAAATGAAATGAACAACTTATGAAGTTAAGTAAACAAAACGAAAAAAAAAAAAAAAAACATTACATAGAGCTTTACATACCTATTACTTTGTTGAGGGACATGTAGACACCTTATTAACCAACCGCGAGAGCCATACTAGGAGAATATTGGCACGAGGTCTTGAAAGTACAAACCAAGTGCAGCGAGGTCTGTACAGAAAAGTCCAAGGGCCAATATTCTCCCAGCACGTCAGAAAAGGCTCTTACAGATAGATGCAAGCCAAGTTTATTGTTTCTCTTTGGACTTAATGAGAAGCCATATCGTTACAAAACTTAATTGCATGTGCGATCATTCAGGACATTACCCGGTCCAATACTTAGAAATTATTGGACAGCCAATTATTGGCCCTGACATATTGAGAGAATTTAAATATCGTGTCATTATCATCAGCGTTCTTGATTTTAGGCAAGCGGCAGGAAAATGTGACAAAGGAGCATATGAAATTGAAAAATAACGCTTCGTTTAAAACCATTCTAGTATTCTCTAAGCACTATAAATGAAATGAACGGACCTGAGGGATCCAGAAGTCTGAACAGCTTTACTGTTGCGGTTCTGCACGTATGGCCATAGCTAACAGTTGCCTCATCTACATACAAAGGAGAAAATACCCCATCCTATTAAAATAAAGAAAGTAAGAAGTAGATAAAAGTACAGTCTAACCAGATATGTTACACTAAAAGTAGCTAGAATACAACCGGCCCCAAAATATTCATACACACCTTCCTTGCTCAAGTACATGAGACTTGTTTCGATTGACATGTAGAGCTCGTGCACATTCAACACAGAAGTACTGGCGAGGGCCACAGTATTCACATCGTGTTGTAGCGATACTCTTTTGACGGTTCACACAGTTAGTATTGTCTGGAAGATGCTGTTCTTCAATGTACGAATTCAGCAGCTTTTCCCGTACCTTTTCCCAGTTAGCAGAGATACTCAAAACACGATTTTGCTGTTGAGTTGAGAGTTCCTGCTTGTCGACATCCTCAAGAGGGACATCTTGTTCTACTGGACTGTTGGTGTCCTGACTATTTTCCTCCGTACTCTTATGAGGCTGCTTCCCAAGATCCACTCTCAGCGGGATCGATACAGTGGTTTTCTTTCCATCGCGCCTAATATTCTTCACATCAAGGAAGACGGGCTTTAACCGACGCATTTCGCAGCGATCACCTTGACTTGTTCACCGATGAGTGAGGGATTTGATTGGTCGAAATGTTTATGCATATTTAATGAGCTACTGGGAAGACTGAAATTATCATTTAAAACGGCTTGAACCCACTCATCTAAAGTTAGATTAGGTGGGTGTTAGCCATTTGGATTGTGTAAGTAGGGTGTATTTCACATAGCCAATGATTTATTTGTCCACAAAACTGGAAAACTTGCGTAAGAACTTAATAGAAAACTATGAATTAAAAGGCAACAGCCTATGGCAAGTGGAAACCGTGCGAAAGAGTCGTTTCAAGAAGCAAAAAACGAAACGCTTTTTAGATGAATTCGTGTACAGTTCATTATTACAATGTTCGTGACGAATATTCTAAAAGCCTGGCTAACACGAAAGTATTTTTTTTAACTGTTATGCAATGGGAAAAAAAAAACTCGGTAGTCATTTAATGTGTTTTTATTTAAGGAGTTTGTAAAATTATGGAATTGTTTTGACATAGAGTACAAAAGGCTAACTTTAGTCAAAACTGGCTCCTATGGTTAAGACTTTACTTCCCCAAGGGAAGTTAATGAGTGATAGAGAGGCAAGAGTTATTTTGCACGTGCGCTCTAATAATAATGTTAGCTACGACAATTATTCGTCTCTTTTGCATTCATGTTACCATGATCTTGTATGCCTCAACATGTCTTCCGAGGACTTACGAGTCATTTAGTATCCAGCTGTGCTTCTTAGAGTACAAATAACGCTCAAGACGACTACATATGTCTCGCGGTATTTGTACTTCACAGGACCGCTTAGACAGATTTTCTCACATCGCGCGAGCGACGAACTGGATTTTGTAAAATTATGGAATTGTTTTGACATAGAATACAAAAGGCTTACTTTAGTCAAAATTGGCTCCTATTGTTAAGACTTTACTTCCCCAAGGGAAGTTAATGAGTGATAGTACAAATAATCATCATAACAATCAGTATCTCTAGATTTTTCTTCTCTTCTGTTTTCGTCGTTCTTTCACTTCGTTTCGATCAATTTTTCAGAGAAATTTCTTTTTGAAAATTCCACAAAACAAGAGGCTTGTAATGGGCATTTTTCATGCACCAATGACGTTTGAAGAAAGTGGTAAACTGGAACAGTTAAGAAACTTATTATTCCGCCCAATTTGAATTAATAATAAATGACGGTAGGAATGAAAGTTAGACGTTTTGGCTCTACAAGAACCAAGCAGTGGCAGAGATGGGTAACTGATGGTTGCTGTATTTATCTCACTTTACTGAAAAGAAATTGTAAAGCGAGACACTCTGATGGTTGGTTAAAAACGCTTTCTTTTTTGACAAGACTCTGAAGATGGCCCGCCGTCGCTGCCCGATGCTCTCTTTCATATTTCTTCTTTTTTTGTTTGGAGGCTGGTTCTACACCTTAACGGTTGCGAACCATGGTAAGTTAACTTTGAAATTCTTTTGTGTGGGTTGGATGAAAATGTAGACTATGGCAACTCCTGAAGCAATGCAAACCTGGAGTTACAGGAAAGCAAGGGCCCGAGGAATAGGGACCAAAAATTATGCACTTTTCAAGGGTTTGGAAATCCTAATCTACCACATCGAGAGGGCTCTGAAGTAAAACTCGACATGACCATCTCGGAAAAGCTTGAGTGCAAAGAAATTTAGTATTTTGTAAACAAGAGTAGCTTTTTAAAGGTGAGAAAGAAGGAAACTACCGTGATGATTTTAAAAAGTGCTTAAAAATTTAGAAACTTTCTAGACCAGTTGTAACATAATCGACGGTGTGTGTGGGAACTTCATTGGGGGTGTTTTGGTTCTAACTTTTCGGCGACGTTTCCTAAGTTTCAAATTTTTACAAGAATTTGTTCAGATCAATTTCATCATGAAACAATCATAAATACGTAATAAAAGCTATCTTTCGGAGGGGAAAGAAATACTTTTGCAATAATGGATGGCAATGAATAGGAGACACTCAGACCTTTGTAACTTGAGGACAGAAAATCAAATGGAGGAATTTTGTTTATAAGGTTTTTGTCGCTCATGAGTTATCTTTTGCAATTTCTATTAAAGTCTCTAAATCCATTAGATTGGTAAAAATGAATCAAGGTGTCAGCTATAGCAAACGTTGAGTAGGAAAACTTTGAGAAGCACTTCATATCGTCGTAGCTTTTATCTATAGGTGGTTTAAGAGCGTTTGAATTCAGCTCTGTGTCTATCCATCAAAGTAACAGAGTATTCATTGAAATCATTTTATGAAGAAGAAACAAAGATATCTCTAAAAATGCGGAAAATAAGGAAAAACGTCTCGAGTTATCATGGTTTTTAATGGAAGCAACTACGCGTGATTTTTGATTAATGAGCAAAACCACCAGTAATATCTTCCTTCATTTACGCTTGAGTCTTCAACTTTGGAGAGAACGAGGTCATCATCAAGCGAGTATGAAAATTATTTATTCTCCGTTATCGTTTCCTTCATTTGAGAAATACCCTGTATCTAAGCAATATATTTGCTCGTTGAGACTTCAGGCACCTGTTTCGAACAGACTATACATTGAGAATTTTAAAATGGGATTTAGTCCACAGCGAAAAAATATATTGCAAACAGAAACTTAATCAGTTATATTGTAGAGACGTTTGTCTCCGTATTATGCCCCCCCTGGGTGGTATTGCGAAAACTTAGATGCACTAGATTGATATGCTATTAACTACTTAGCATGCCCAAGGAAACAAAAGAACTCCTGCAGGGTTAGGTAGGCCCGTGAGCGGTCCTTCAGAAAGAATAAATTGCCTAAACTAACTCAGCATACAGTGACTCATTTGAAAGTAATTCACCACATTTAGAAAGGAAGTCAAGAACATAAGATGTGCGGAATTTAAAATAAAAAGGGAAAAAGAAAAAATTCGTTGAAGGAAGGTTGCAATTAATTTCAATGAAAACATAGTTTCTTCCTTGTTACGAGAACACTTTTAGTAGCTAGAATTTTACGTCTGTATTTCATGTAAGTCCACGCGATTCCAGTAAAATAATTGCAAGAATATCATCCACTTAATTCTTTTTTTCAGAGACGCATATGTTTTTCACAGAGAAAAAACCCAAAATTTCCTAATAACGTCGATGGAAAAACCCATCGATTATTTATGAATTTTGGCTAGTTTTAAGCACACACCTGGTAAAAATGGGAGAAAATTTCTAATATTTATGTCTTCAAACAACAAACATATGAAATACATATATATGAACTGCGGTTATGAAACGTATATGTGCATGATCCTTCGCAGTGAAGCACTGATAGTGCTTTACTGCGAAGGATCGTGCACATATACGATTTATTTCTTCCTCAACTAATGCTATCTGAATTATCTTTATACCCTCAGAACATCAATAAAATAATAGACAAATTTCCTTTTCGTCCTCCGTTTGACAGCCTGTCTTGGAGCAGAGGAACCTTAGGTGCAATCTATGCAATAGTTTACGAACAGAACATTCCAACATTTCTTGAACTGAATTAGCCTGTAAAGGAGACTAAGCAGGGAAACAAAGGATTTATAGTCGATGTGGAATAATTTTTTGTTATTCCTTAAATATCTGTATATAACAAATAGAATAGAGAAGTTTTGAACAATGGGCCAGTAAGGATTTACTCAGTGCGAGAACCACAGAAGCAGTTTTGTTTAGTAAGCCAAAAAGTGAGCGATAAATGATGATGATAATGATGACTTTATTTAAACTCGGATGAAAATGAGGCTTGTTAGCCCTCTAACAATGGAGATGCTAATATACCGAGAAAAAATATATGAATATAAATTACAGAGTTTAAAAAGAATATAAGCCTAAATATAAATGATGATATAAATGATGGTGATATAAAATTACAAATTACTTAGATTTCTTATCTCATTCCTGAAAGGGCCAAATTCGGCCATTAATGTTAGCTTATCAGGTAATGCATTCCAAGCATGAGCAGCAATGTAAGAAGTCGATTTGAGGCCGTAAGTTGTGGTCTTAGCTAGAGGTAAAACAAGTTTGTTTTTGCCCATAAGATTTTTCTTATTTTCTTTTACTTGAAATAAAGATTGAATATACTGAGGCATATTGTTATAGAGGGCTTTAAAAATGATTAAAAGCATATCTTGTTTCCGTCTACAACTTAGTGAGTAACCAGTCTTTCCATGAGAATAAAATTAACAAATCGACAGTGGTTTAACGTGGTCTCTCCTCTTACCGTGACAACGATAGTCGTTATCACAGTACCCAAAATGCTGTGGATTTGTTCAGTGACCGAAACTTTACGTGACACGTCGACGAGAGCAGCGTTGTCTGTACTCTTATCAACAACAGCAAAGTGGTCAGTCAGACCGCATACGAAATTGCCGCCAGTTTAAGTTAAACTCAGTACCTAATATTCCTATGAACTTATCTTTCTCTCCAAGGGCTAACATCTTTCGACTTGGGTATGTTTGAGGTTGAAAAAATCGTTCAATATCAAGAAAATAGGAATTAATATTGCTTGTTTTTTATCTTTCAGTAAGCTTGTCACCAGCACTTTAGCTCAAGTCAGTAAAATGACTAGGGTTACGTTTGTCACAAATGGTTTTATTCAGCAAATACAGGCTGTTTTCTGTGGCTGTTTAAATTTCGTTTGCAAAAAAAGAAAATTGTAAAGAAAGATTCAAATTGGGAAAGAATTTCTCACACATTTTTCCTTTGTTCAAATCTAGTTGAGGAAGGTTGCAATGAATAGGGTATGAGGTCATAAGTAGCGCAAAAAGAGATGATTTTCTAAACTTCCATGTACCTTGACATTATTGTTTACATTTAGTGTCTTGGTTTTCAACTTGGAATAAAGTTTCAGAGACCTTCAAAGTAAGCACATTTTGGGGCATAACATTATACATTATTCACTATCTTTGTGACAAAATTCAGATTTTGACCATTTAAAAATTAATTAAAGTACATGGTGAAATATTCACAGAAATTAAGATACCATTTCGGGGTACTAACATATTTTTAAAAAGCTCCCCCAGCTTAGCTTGTCCAAAGCTTTTTCTTCTCCACTATTTTTTCTGTGCCCTACCACCCAGATTCGTTTTCGAAACATTCTACTTTTATAATTTGCGGCGAAAACAATAGCAATTATAAAAGTTTTAAATTAGAAAGAAAAATGATTGTTTAGCTTTTGAATCTTTTAATCCGCTAAAAGAAAGCATGAAAACGCACATGAAAACGGAAATGAAATAAAAAATTAAAAAATTGCAAACGTTTCTTTAAAGTTCCCCCCCCCCAAAAAAAAAAAAAAAAAAAAAACATATAACCTCTTGTGCCGGCATGTTGCGGAATTGTCACACTTCTATTTTGCTGGTGTTAAAGGAAAAAGAATATTACAGAAGGGTTACAACATAAATAGTCTGGCCCCTAAACGGTTCAGTATATTTCGACCGAAAGCTAGCCACAGGAAGACGATACGATAAACTATCCAGTTTCTTGAGCAGATGGATTTTAAAGTCCGAGTGGATAGAAGTTTTAGCTCATGAATTGATATCCATGAAAATTGCCAAATCCCTAAGACCACACGGTTTTCTCTAAATACTGGTCTTATTGAACATTACTCAATCATATTCTATTCTACTCCTGTGCCTTTTTGAGTTTTTTTTTTTTCGCCAACCTACGCGAGACGTTTGTGAGGCCTTACAAAATATTTTCTCTAACGTCTGATTTATAGATAGCTGTCGGCGTCTAAAGTTCTTGCAACAGAAAGATGGATATGGATTAGTGGGCCACGTCTTTAAAAACATTGTATTACCAGTCGGAATGCATATATATAGTCACTGCAGAAATTGGTGTACTATGCAAGACAGATGTAAATCGATCAACATAGGACCCGCAGGAGAAAAAGATAAAGTTTTGTGTCAATTGAGTGACTCGGACCACCTACAACACCCAAATGATTTGAAACCGATGGCAGGTTTTGTGTATAGGGGCACGGAGGTAGGACTTGTTTTTATTTTCTTTTTTTGTTTATGAATTTGATGCTCTTCGTAAGCCTCGTGTACCGTTTAATAGAGTTTCCTTGGTCTTCCGTGAGTCTTCAGCAACTCATATGAGGCAATTTTATCTCAAAACCTTTTTGAGTGAAGCCTGAGAACACCTAAATCGGCTAAAAATGAAAAAAAAAGATGAATGAATTTTAAAAATAAAGTTCCTGTATAACCCGTGTTCTGATTGGTTGAGACAACATGTCTTATCAGAGTATCAAGAAGTTTCTTCCCCTTCACTTCTTTTGTTCTCTAGCCGCTTACGTCGTCCTTTACAACAGAAAAGAGCAAGGTCGAGGCTTTTTTTATTTGTTACACAAAAAGTGAAAAACTCCAGGCATGCCCCTTGTGGATAGAAAGTATAAATCGCTCGCATGAATATCATCTCCATTATTTTATGAAAAAATAAGGCTCAATATTTTTCCCCATTAGAACAAGTGTTGTTTCAACATGTGCTACAACAATGCAACTTGCTCAGTTGGATTTACTGACAAGGGATACAAGTGTGTGTGTCCACCTGGTTACAAGGGAGACCACTGTGAAAAAGGCAAGAGTTACTTTGCAGGTGCGCTCTAATAATCATGTTAGCTACTACAATTATGCTTCTTTTTTGCATCCATTTTACCATGGTCTCGTATGCTTCGACATGTGTTCTGATTACTTACGAGTCGTTTATTTTCCAACTGTGCTTCTTAGAATACAAATAACGCTCAAGACAGGTTTTCTTGCATTTCGCAAGCGACTACTTGGATTGAGGTTACAAACAAAAATGGTGAAAAATTCAAATTATCCTTGTAACGATAAAGAGTTGGAATGGATGTAGAATATTGATCCAATTTTATTAAATAAAGCAAAGGAAGAAAAGGAGTTAGACGACATTGAAATTTCATCATCTATTGAAGAAATACAGAGCTTATAAAGAGGATTTTGGTCGGTATTTCAGGAAGGGTGCTTAAACTTTATCGAGTTGCTGGTGTGCAGTCGGTTGTGATGAGTGAATTTTCGCGCGCTTGTTTTCTCTTGTCATGTAAGACTACACGAACATTTTTTTGCGATGTAGCTCGATAAAAGAACTTCTGTTCTTCCAGTGTGTCAATGTTATGTTATAAAACAAATGGTGAACGCCATAGCGTGCGCTGTTGAGTTATGGATACACTTGGGATGTTTGCTAAGCACTCAAGAAGATACAGTCGCACGAGGCGATAGCCGAGTTCGACTCTTACGCTTCTTTCGTGCTTAGCAACCTCCCTCTAGTATCCATAACTCAACAGTACACGCTATGGCGTTCACCATTTGTTAAATAGATAGTTTAATGCTCAAATTAGTGTATAAGTAACTTTAAGGATCAATTTACTTGTTATTCAATTCTCAATATCTCTTTTTGTAAATGCAATGTACCTCCAATAAAAGGAAAACGTTTATGTTTATATTGATAGAGATAGCTTAACTATTCCCTTTCAGTATTCAATGCAGTTNCCAACAAATCTTTGATCATAGCTGGGGGCGGAGGAGGTATACAGAGATTAAAGTCAAGACATTCAGGATGTGATGCTAGTTCTAATTCATCGGGAAATCCTGGTTACAAATCATGGTCGGGGGGGAGCAATGGACATGGTGCACAGATCGCTGACACTGTCGGTTCCGGTAAGTCGGTTGTTTTGATATGTCACCATCTGTTTTCGAAACAAACACCCCATGTCTCCCATCCACACATCAATCAATTGTCAGGAAAAACGTAAAAGGTACAAATTATTGAAATCAAAATGAATGAATTTGACAGGGGACTGCACGACAGAAAGGTTAAGTGTTTATCATCGCTAAATGCTTAAAAACGTTTTGGTTATTGTTTTTTTTTTTGTCTCTTTTGTTTTGTTTTGTTTTTTTCCTTAAGAATTTATCCGTTCTAAAAGGAATGTAAAACAGGGCGATTTCTTGGATTCTTCTCTCCTTGAAGATGTGTTTTATCTTAAAATGATTTACATTTCAATTTCTTCTTTTAATTTTGGCCCGTAGGCATCGCTATTTGTCAAATTCTTACCGCATTTTTCCTTCTTAAACCGCAAGCCAATGAATGAAGGTTGCCATTTTAATGTTTGAATAAACACTGACTCAGTTGTTACGACATTAGTTTGAAATTAGTAACTACTGTATCATCAGTCTCCGCTAATCTCTGTCCCACGAAAGGAACTTTTAGTCTCGTCAGTAGTAGAATGATGAATTTTACTGATTTCTAAACCCAAATGTAAAGATTATTAATCGACTGCATACAACTACTTATTGTTATTATCACCGATAGGTGGCGGCGGAGGAGGTTTCTACTCCAGTGGCAGAAGCTCAGAGAAGTTTGGTGGTAACATAGGAAGTGGTGGTGAGGGTGGTAAAGGATTTCTCCAGGGAGGAGTGGGAGGTAGAGCACTGTTAAACAATATTGTGGGTGGATTTGGTGGAGGTGGAGGAGCTTTTGGTAGAGGGGGAGGCGGTGGAGGAGGAGGGGGATACTCTGGAGGAGGCAGTGGAGATAATGTACCTGATTCCTGTGGAGGCGGCGGAGGATCTTACAATGCTGGTAAAAATCAACATAATGAATGTTGCTATCGATCATTTGGCCATGGTCAGGTGATAATAACCAAAATGTAAAAGAAAAATCTTTTATGGACCATCGAAAAACTCTCAGCGCTGACTGATTAAACAGATCGAACAGTAGAGTATGCAATATTATTGAATCCGTTAAAAATATTGGACAAACTGGCATAACGCGGTTTTGAATGTAAAAATTAGTGTTAGTGTATTTTGAGCATATGCGCTTTATGTCTTTAAAAGGCTGATCCCGAGGGAAACTGTCTTTTTCCCAGGTTGGACCCGAGGGGGAAAATGTTCTGTTTCTCGAATAAAGAGCCATTGAAGGATTTGCTGTAAGTAGTAAACGGCGCCTATATCGAATAAACCGAGAGGTCTGGGTCCGAGTGTCTCGGCCGAGTGAGGTTTAGTTAGTTATGTATCCCGCATAGGTGCGCGAGGGTGATTTTTAGGGCTAAATCAGTGTAGGTGCATGAGGGGTTTTTAGGGTTAGGGTTAAATCAGTGTAGGTTTAGGAGGGGTTTTTAGGGTTAGATTTCGCGTAGGTTCGTTAGTAGGGGTTTTCAGTTTTTTTAAAAAAAATAACGGTACAAAGGTAACAAAAGAATCCAAGATGGCGGTGGGGTTGAGTAAAAAGTAAATGAACCCTACATTACGCGTTTGGGTATCGCGGGTTAGATTTCTAACCGAATAGGGCTGTAAGCAAAAGAGGTGTTTATAAGAATCCCAAAAGGTTTTCACACGCATGTGCTACAGGTTAGTAAGGAAGCATGACTTTTGCGTTTAAAAGATAAGTGTCGTTTAAAACTCAAGTTTGGTAAACAAGAATTGGCACGCAAGATTTTTGCATATTTCACAAAACACGATTATTTGTCACACATAACGTTGTCATACAAGGTATTTAGAGCAAAGAACTTGAAAATAAGTGACGTAGATGAAAAATGAAGGCATTAGTTGACAGTATAACCGATGGAATGTATTTTTTTCTCCCACTTCTTGGTCGTAGGTTTCATTTTCCTCGATGTAGGTAGTCACTTGTTTGTGCATGACGCCGAGATCATGTGTAGCGGTTTTTTTCTTTGACTATGGCTAATAATTCGTCTAATATGGCTCTTGCCCCTGGAAGGTTTTCCTTCATGTCTTTGCCCAAGTGTGTTAAAAAAGAGTTCTTTAGACGACGCCAAAAAACGGTTATCGCACCAAATTAGTGACATGACAAAGTCAGGAGGAGGAGGAATCTTACGAGCATTATAACGCACTGCTCAATCTGTAAGAGATGTACGATCGTAAGACACAGGGATTGACAAGCTGTCAAAGTGTTCTGGTAGACCTTGTCGCTATAAACTCTTGGTCAGTATTATGATGTCTGACTTTTACGATTTCTCCTG